GCCTGTCCATTCACATCCAACTGTCACTTGATCCGCTAGATGAATGGTGAATGTATCCCCATCCGACTGTTTTTGGTGGACCGGATCAGACCGAATGCAGGCAGGTGTAAACATGTCATGACACATGTCCGTTTACATCCACCTCTCCATAGAGAACAATGGGTGATCTGATCAGGTCCACCAGAAAAAAGGACAGGCAGTCCTGATGGGTCCATTCATGTGACAGGGACCTTATAAATAATATGTAACCATTTAGTTACATTGTAATTGCAACTATAAAGATAGAGAAAGAGAAAGTTTTGCTAGTTTTTAACATCACATTTAAAAGTTTTTGACACAGTAGTGGAAGGTTACACTCCCTGTCTGTGTACCATTAGGGAAATGTCCCAAAGATGCAACAGGAAGTCAGGGGAAATCTCCCAAATGAGGGGAATTCCCCTCTTAGGCTTCATTCACACTGTATTCTAATCTTTTTTTCTCCTGCAGGAGTTTAGCAGCAGCGCTCATTCGTGTTTATACGCGTTCACGTATCTGTTGTGAACTTATTCTATGGCCAGATGCCTGGCCATTAGAATTCATTAACGTGGGGACCCGCCTAAATACACCGTTTGCATTTATGTGCATTTAAGCGCTTTTGAGCGTGTGAACGCACAAGTGATGTTTACTTTTTTGCCTCTAAATTCCTCTAAACTCCTTTGTGTGCATGGGCACATAGGTTAACATAGAGAGGGGTTTAGCAGCAGGAAAAAAAAAAAGTTCAAACACCTTTAAAAGCAGCGCTTTTAAGCTCAAGTGTGCATGAGACCTTAGGCTTAGTTTACACTTGCAGCTGGGGGCAGTAAAAACATTTGGTTGAGCCGCAACTGCTTCCCATAAGCTGCAAAGGCAGCCATATGGGGGTGGACACATGACATGGCTGTGATTCTTTGTAATGGCTTTAGCTTGGCAGAAACTATCCACACTGCCTCGTTCTACTAGCAGTACCAACCCACCAAACACAACCCATTCAAATGAATGGAAGTATGCCACAACCACTTACAATGCATGCAGTTGCTGCATGTTGTTACAGGCTTTTAATGGTTAAAAGAGGCAGCGAGAAGAAGACATAATTCCTGTCAAACCCCCTCTAAAAAAGCAATCCACCGTGGATCGCTTTTTAGAGGGTTACAAAAGTGTAAATAACCTTTTACACTCCGGTCACACCGACCAGATTTTGAAATTGTGTGACTTTCAGTGAAGTTGCACGAGTTCAAAGTCTGATGCCATTCTGACTTGAGGTGCGACTTGCAAGACATCTATCCTAGCATGCACTACTTTAGAAATCAGTGCAGCTCTCACCAAGATTGGAATCGCAACGATATGACCACTGTAATTGCAGATAATAGGGTGCGACTTGGCATGCGGTTTGAAAGTCGCATGCCATGGCAGACCGCATGCTACATCACCCCCGGTGTGACTGAGGTCTTATCCTAGGTTCAGGGGCGGACTGACCATTTGGTAACTCAGGCACTGCCCGAGGGCCCGGGGTCAGTAGGGGGCCCCATGAGTTGCCCCGGTACCTTTTTCATAGGTTTTTTTGAGTTTGGGCAAGGACACAGGGGCCCCATGATCCCCTATTGCCCGGGGGCCCCATGAGTTGTCAGTCCGCCCCTGCCTAGGTTCACACCTAAGCGTTTTCCGCAGTGTTTTTCAGAAACGCACTACAGTCCATTTAATTTGTACATCTCCGCGTTTTCATCCAGTGCATTTTTTGAAAAGGGTCAGGGACTTTTTTGAACGCAAAAAGTTGCATTTTTGGTTCTATAGACTTCAATGGAAATGCTGCAGGAAAGCATGTAAGGTGTTTTTGATGCTTTTTTGCTGCGTTTTAAATATGCCTAGCAACAAAAAAAAAAAAAACACAAAATGCTGCAAAAACATGCGCAAAACACACTGCAGAAATGGATCAAACATAAACTGCATAGGTGCGAACTTAGCTTGAAAGTGTTGTCCCTGAAAAACGTGTCCCTTTTGGGAGATTACCCACTCTATCCAAAGTTTAAAAAAAAAAAATATTACCTATACACTTTAAATGTTTAGACTTTTGAAAGTGTCATGTCAGGTCTCCTAAATAATTCTAACGTCCCTTAGAAGTGGTAAATCCAAAGTTCACACTGCGCTGTACAATGTGACCTCCACTATCTTTTCATCCCTTCAAATGTATGCAGTTTTATAGTTAACAGGAAAGAAAAATACTTAGAAAAGCCAAGATAAGTGGATTCCAAATACAGTATTACACAAGGAAAACGAAAAAAAGAGATAATAAGTCTGGAGTTACTGTAAACTCATTTTTTTGTCATATGTCAGAAAGTTGCATTGTTTAGTGCCTGAGTACACTGGTAAGAGGGAAATTCCTTGAGCTAGGTAAAGACAAACAGAAATGTTTCCTGCTTATTGTGTAGGATGACCGAGAGCAGGAAAAAATAAAAATTAAATGCGAAAAGCAACCTTAAGAAACACCTTGACTTATGGAAACCACCTTATAGTACAGTGATGTGGAAATGTTCAAATCAAGCAAAAGGTACAAAATAGTAAGTGCTCATCTATAGTCAAGAAGGAACTTGCACATAGGGAGAATTTTAATATAAAACCTAAAATTTCAAATATATGGGAAACCCACCCTGCAGGATCAGAATTATACTGTGTGATCTATACTCTACTGGAGAACCCATATTAGTGTATATACACACACATTATATACATATATATACACACACTTATATATCTATACATACACATATACAGTGGGGCAAAAAAAGTATTTAGTCAGCCACCAATTGTGCAAGTTCTCCCACTTAAAAAGATGAGAGAGGCCTGTAATTGGCATCATAGGTAGACCTCAACTATGAGAGACAAAATGAGAAAAAAAAATCCAGACAATCACATTGACTGATTTGGAAAGAATTTATTTGCAAATTATGGTGGAAAATAAGTATTTGGTCACCAAGAAACAAGCAAGATTTCTGGCTCTCACAGACCTGTACCTTCTTCTTTAAGAGGCTCCTCTGTCCTGCACTCATTACCTGTATCAATGGCACCTGTTTGAACTTGTTATCAGTATAAAAGACACCTGTCCACAACCTTAAACAGTCATACTCCAAACTCCACTATGGTGAAGACCAAAGAGCTGTCGAAGAACACCAGAAACAAAATTGTAGACCTGCACCAGGCTGGGAAGACTGAATCTGCAATAGGCAAGCAGCTTGGTGTGAACAAATCAACTGTGGGAGCAATAATTAGAAAATGGAAGACATACAAGACCACTGATAATCTCCCTCGATCTGGGGCTCTACGCAAGATCTCACCCCGTGGGGTCAAAATTATCACAAGAACGGTGAGCAAAAATCCCAGGACCACACGGGGGGACCTAGTGAATGACCTGCAGAGAGCTAGGACCAACGTAACAAAGGCTACCATCAGTAACACACTACACCGCCAGGGACTCAGATCCTGCAGTGCCAGATGTGTCCCCCTGCTTAAGCCAGTACATGTCCGGGCCCGTCTGAAGTTTGCTAGAGAGCATTTGGATGATCCAAAAGAGGATTGGGAGAATGTCATATGGTCAGATGAAACCAAAATAGAACTGTTTGGTAGAAACATAACTCGTCGTGTTTGGAGGAGAGAGAATGCTGAGTTGCATCCAAAGAACACCATACCTACTGTGAAGCATGGGGGTGGCAACATCATGCTTTGGGGCTGTTTCTTCACAAAGGGACCAGGACAACTGATCCATGTACAGGACAGAATAAATGGGGCCATGTATTGTGAGATTTTGAGTGCAAACCTCCTTCCATCAGCAAGGGCATTGAAGATGAAATGTGGCTGGGTCTTCCAACATGACAATGATCCCAAACATACCGCCCGGGCAACGAAGGAGTGGCTTCGTAAGAAGCATTTCAAGGTCCTGGAGTGGCCTAGCCAGTCTCCAGATCTCAACCCCATAGAAAACCTTTGGAGGGAGTTGAAAAGTACATGTTGCGCAGCGACAGCCCCAAAACATCACTGCTCCAGAGGAGATCTGCATGGAGGATGGGCCAACGTACCAGCAACAGTGTGTGCCAACCTTGTGAAGACTTACAGGAAACGTTTGACCTCTGTCATTGCCAACAAAGGATATATAACAAAGTATTTAGATGAACTTTTGATATTGACCAAATACTTATTTTCCATCATAATTTGCAAATAAATTCTTTCCAAATCAGTCAATGTGATTGTCTGGATTTGTTTTCTCATTTTGTCTCTCATAGTTGAGGTCTACCTATGATGCCAATTACAGGCCTCTCTCATCTTTTTAAGTGGGAGAACTTGCACAATTGATGACTGACTAAATACTTTTTTGCCCCACTGTATATATATATATATATATATATATATATACATACATATATATACACATACATATATATATACACACACACACATACTTGCATACATACACACACACTTGTGAATGGGGCTGTTAGCAATTACAGGAGGGAGACCCAGCAGGGGTTCCCGGCATTAAGCTGCAGGCAGAAGACCTATTGAAAGCAATGGGACACTGACAACTCCCGCAGCTAATCGCAGTCTGCATCTAAGGCCGATAATTGCAGGTAATTGTTGCTTGAGCGATTACATGTGAGCGGCATAGCCGCAGGAGCTGTCAGCTTTCCAAGTTTAAATAGGGCCTTAGAGCTCATTCGGATGCCTGATAAGGGTTGTATGCCACCAAGAATCAGTGTTTTTCTGCAGTGGATAGCACAGGTGATTGCGTTCAACCGCGGCCAGCAACCTGAACAAATGAATGACAGGCTAATGCTGTGCACACATAACTAAACATTGGGGTTGATTTACTAAAAGGCAAATACAGTAGACTGTGTACCTGCAAGGGCAGTTGTTCTAAAGCTTAGAAAGTGAGATGAAGCTTCCCTTTGCAAGAAAACAAAAAAAAAAAACAATAGCATGCATAGAAAATGAAAAAAAAAAAATACAAAAAAAAACCCAGCATTTTTGTATGCACATGATTGGATGATTCCATCAAAGCTTCTGCTCATTTACGAAGCTCTGGAGAAACTGCACTTGCAAAGTGCAGTCCAGGGGCGGACTGACCATTCGGGAAATCGGGCACTGCCCGAGGGCCCGGGGTCAGTAGGGGGCCCCATGAGATGCCCCTGGTAGCTTTCATAGGCTTTTTTTGGGTGTGGTTTGAGTGTAGGCGAGGACACAGGGGCCCCATGATACCCTACTGCCCGGGGGCCCCATGAGTTGTCCGCCCCTGGTGCAGTCTATTTGCCTTTAGTAAATCAACCCCATTGAGAGGTTACATGTGGTGAAAAACAAATGAACGGCTCAAGATGCAGACAGTTTGCATCCTGGGTTGCTAATGTTGAGAGTTATCACTCTATAAAACAACAGACATTAGGGGAGATATACTAAACCTGGAGAATGCAAAGTCTCTGCATTGTAGCCAATCAGTTTCTAACTTCAGTTTGTTCAGTTAGGCTTTGGCAAAAAAAACATTGGAAGCTGACAGGTTTCTATGCACAGCTGCACCACATTTTGCACTCTCCAGTTTTAGTAAATCAACCCCATTATCTGAACAAAGACCTTCATAGCAGGGTCACATAGTTGCATAGTTAGTCTGGCTGAAAAAAAGACAAAAGTCCATCCAGTTCAACCATTAAAAAAAAAAGTTATAATCCTACACCCACAGTTGATCCAGAGGAAGGCAAAAAAAACCCAGCAAAGCACGATCTAATTTGTTCCTGCAGCGAAAGAAATTCCTTCCTGATCCCCCAAGAGGCAATCAGATATTCCCTGGATCAACTTTACCTATAAATGTTAGTATCCAGTTATATTCTGTGTATCCAAGAAAGAATCCAGGACTTTTTTAAAGCAATCCACTGAGCTGGCCAGAACCAAGTATTATTTTATAAAAGTTGAAGATTTAAAAATATGGTTTGCTTTAATGTATGCTATGCTATGTATGAAGATCCCTATATAGGACGCACCAAAATGGATATTAAAGTGTTATTAGATCCAGGACCCTGCAGTCACTAAATCTGGTCTCCAACAGTACACACAACATGGAAATGCAATTATTTTAGTAAATATAAACTGCTAAATACCTTCCCTTACCAGCAGTATATAGCAGTCTTGTGTGTTCTATCAGTGTCCAGCTGAGCACTGGTTAATCTTGCAGGAGGAGTTTTCATTCTCCTCTGACTGTCCTATGAGGCTTCATAACCCCCGAATCTCTAGCAATATACAAAAAACTGAGCATGTGCAGACTTGCCACTTCTGCTCTAACTATGGCAGATGGATTGGGGACAGCAAAAAAAGGGGAGGATTAGAGAAAACAGGATCAAACAGCATCTTTACACAATGCAGAGGACTAACCCCTTAGCTTCCACAGTGAGTATACCAAGCATGCTTTACTGCATATACAGACTGATTTTACTATTGTAGCTTTAGTAACACTTTAGTCCTCATGCACCCTGGACATTTTTACAGTGGCTGTTTGTGGCTTTTGACGTTTTTTTTCTACAGCCAGTAACCCTCCCAGCATTTTATCCTATGTGTCCATGCATGCATATAGACTGTAATCAGCATTTTTTGACAGGGGTGTTTTTTGGCTGGAAAAAAAACCCAGGAGTAGTGGAATTCTAGAGGTTTTTTCAGCTGTGAGTCCTCATGCACACTGGACATTTTTAAAGTGGCTGTTTTTGGCTTTTGACATTTTTTTCTACAGCCAGTAAACTCCCCAGCATGTTATCATATGTGTTCATTCATACATAGACTGTAATCAACATTTTTTAGCTGGAAAAAAAAAACCCAGGACTAGTGGATTTCTTAGCTGTAAAAACGCTCTAAACACTGAAAAATGCTGAAAAAAAACATGGCAAAAACACTGCAAACCGGTGTTTTTTTCGACTTTTTTTGACCCAAAAAAAAAAGCTAAAAAATGCAAACGAGGAAAAACATCGCTAATCGTGGCAAAAAGCCGCTAAACGATAATGCAAAAACACAAAAAAAAGCTGAAAAACTCAAGTTTTTAACTTGACTTTACATAGCTAACGTTACCAGCGTTATCAAAACGCCCCATGTGCATGGAGGCTAAAAACGCTCTAACGCTGTAAAACGAGGCAAAACATGGAAAATCGTGGCAATAGTTTTTGGGGGTCAAGAAAAAAAACTCTGAAAAATGCTAAAAAACGCAAAACGTGAAAAAATGTGGCTAAACGCTAATACAAAAGTGCTGAAAAACTCATGTTTTTAACATGACTTTACACAGCTAATGTTACCAGCGTTATTTAAAACGCCCCGTGTGCATGGAGCCTAAGTTAGATATGTGCCTTTTGAACGGGTACTGAAATGATGCAAGAAATTCTGCTTTTCATAAGTAGCCACAAGTCCCTGAGCTGCCAATTTACTAGATTAATAATCAAGCTAAAATCAGCTTAGTTGACTTTTCATGGGACTGTGCAGGGCGGCGTATGCACCCAGCATCTGGCTCTTTCAAGGACTAGAATTTATTTACACAAAAATGCCAGAATAAGATTAGCTCCAGCGTACACCTTCAGTCCTGGGGACTCACATACAGCACAGCTTTCCAGGACTTTGTCCGAGAAGGAGGTATGAATCTCAATGACTCCTCTGCTTATTAATTTGCCTGTACACAAACTAGGATAGCTCACCAAACACTGGCCCTGGGCTCAGAATTTAAAGTAAACCTGTTAAGACTCAAAATGAGTAATAGGGTGGAAAAGTACACAAGTAAAGGTTACCTTCAGTGATATGCATGTTCAAAACAATCCAAAAATATAAGCAGCTAAAATTACATGTAAAAGCTTTGCGCGCTCTCCATCCCAGTGCTTTCCTATTGGTTACTGAAACCACCTATTACATTGAAGGGTCAATAGAAAGTGTAAGGAATTGGTGGGGGAGATTTGCATGTAACTTCAGTTGCCTATATGTTTGGATCGCCTAATCACCTTGATTCATCATTATATAATCTATCAAGATCAGGCCAGCCTACATAGACTGACTTCAGTGCAAGCAATTGCTCACATGTATGGTTCCCCTGACAGAAATGTGCACAGTCCCACATTTCTGCTCAGGTGCAAGGTTGTCCATATGCGGGTATGGGTAAATGCTCGTTATGAACAATAGTGCCAAGCAGACTATTTAAGGCCTACAAGCCTCCAGTGTTGAGAGATCTCTAGTTGTACTCTGCAACCCACAATTCTGCATCTGATCCATATCTCTGTAACCAACCCAGCTTGTTCACTGATTCTGATTCTTCTGTGATTCTCCTGACCTGTTCCTGTACTGACCCTGGCATGTTTTCTGCCTGCAACTCTGGTACCTCCTTGCCTTCAAGCTGCTGACCTGGCCTGTCCATCACTCTGTCTCTGCCCACCATATAGGTGCCATATTCTGTCTTGGTGATTTTAGCTTGTTCTTGTACTCTCAATGGTGACCCAAAAAAAACGCTCACTAGTTCCGATTACCCCTTGTCCCACTACCAAGGGGTGCTTGGATTGAAGCAATAAGAGAGGCTATCTTCGTCATCTCAGGCTCCCCATCAAGGGACGTGACATAATCAGTTTGAATTGCTGGGGTTTGAGGCAATGCATCTGTCAAAACTATATCCAAATATACAATATAATAGAACATTTTTCATATGATTTACACACTACTGCCACACTGCCTAGTCAAGCAAGTTAGAGCTTTATTGCCTACAGCCCCCATTAAAGTTATCAGTGTCACCTGCCCATTCATTGGACACTGACCATCAACATGCAGTTGAGGTCCTTTACGTGCTTTTTGTTTCATGTAAGCTGTCTATATACACACTCACTGGGCACTTTATTAGGTACACTTGTTCAATTGCTTGGTTACACAAATTGCTAATCAGCCAATCACATGGCAGAAACTCAATGCATTTAGGCATCTAGAGGTGGTGAAGAGGACTTCTTGAAATTCAAACCGAGCATCAGAATGGGGAAGAAAGGGGATTTAAGTGACTTTGAATGTGGCATGGTTGTTGGTGCCAGGCGGGCTGGTCTGAGTATTTCAAAAACTTCTGAACTACTGGGATTTTCACGCACAACCATCTCTAGGGTTTACAGAGAATGGTCCTGAAAAAGAGAAAATATCCAGTGAGCAGCAGCTGTGTGGATGAAAATTTTGATGTCAGACGTCAGAGGAGATTGGGCTTACTGGTTGCTGCAACATTCAGATGATGGGGTCAGAATTTGGTGCAAACAACATGAAAGCATGGATCCATCCTGCCTTGTATCAATGGTTCAGGCTGGTGGTGGTGCTGGTGTGCGGGATATTTTCTTGGCACTAGCAAGGTGTACCTAATAAAGTGGCCAGTTAGTATATTTGGTCTTCCAGTTCCCAGGGCCTAAAACATGTTTGACTGACAGTATGTAATGTAATAGAGTCTGATTGGTTGAAAAAACTAAAAGATTCTCTTTAAATGCCCCAAAATAAATTTAGCTGACAACAAATACAGTGTTAGCTGCAGACTGGATATTCTTACAATCAACCACTGAAAGACCTTTGGGATTTTACATTTAAAGATGTTGCGTACACATGCCCAAATTCTAGGAGTGCCCCACAGACATGAAGAATGTCTGTTTTGATAATTACCATAGCCAACAAACAAAATCCAACCCAGCCCAGTGGACTTACCATAAGACGAACTGTTGAAGAGTTCAATGTTGAAGAAAACATAGTCCCCTTTGGTCAGTCCATTTCGATGTGCAGCTAACATAATGTTCCTGACCGTGTCGCTGCTGGCGCACATTATCACCACTGAGGGAAGAAAAAAAAGAAAACAATGGCAAAGTTAGTGAAGCATGTAATCATACTGTGTACTTTTAAACTAAATACAATTCTCTTTGAGACATGCTAGATTGCTGCCAAGTAGAAACGTTGTCAAAAGACTGTATGTTGAAACACACATACAAATTTAAAGTGAAGTTGTCAGATTCAGCAAAGTGTGATACCAAACAAGAGTTGTACACCGGGCCCCGACTTCTATTTAAAAGTGAGATCCCCACTGGAGCTAAGTTGTTCTCTGTTACTCCGCTGCATAATGCCAGAATTGCAGTAGCCAGTAGGGGGCAGCCTTTTACAACCTCTTTACTGCACAGGCATCTTTAAAACAGTTTTTAGGTCTCAT